ACAGCATCTTGTAGCATTTCATCTGTTATAATTTCCAACATTGAGTGGCTGTGTTGGTATTCTGTCCAATACACTTTACCCTTGACAAGACCTTCACTATATTTTTGGACCTAGCTCCAACATTGGATCATTCCATTTAGTGGTGTGGCCATTTCACAATGTTTCACCCACTCAAATGTGTACTCAAATTGCTGTTTTCTTTGTTATCTGAATCAAGGAAGTCTGCATTCCCTGTGTTGGTATCAGTCAATTCTTGCTCTACTTCACTGTCACAGGAACACATGGCTCATATGGCCAATGTCAAAGTCATAATCATCATTCTCCTCCTCATCATCATCATACACCCACACTACTCTTCTGTTATGAAGACATGTATTTTACCCTAATGGATCATTTTCATCATCCATGCATGATTCACTTTTGACCTCCTCCAAAACTTGCAAATCTGGATTTTCATGTGCCATTGCACTGAATTGGGCTACTTCTACCTGAAAAATGTAAAAAAAAAAACCCTGTTTCTTTAAAAAAAAAAAAAAAATCCCAGAGTGGTGTGAGTCTATTGGACTCTCTGCGATGCTCCAGTAAACATAAACAAAACCAGTTTGCCAGAGCATAAAGGTGGGTCCAATTCTGTTTTGACACTTTTGCACACATGCATGCATGCTCTTTGTTGTCATATCAAGGGGGTAAACACATAGATTGCTTCCTGTATCCCTCAGGGAAAAGTACTGGGATGCACAGCTGGCTACTCCAATGCTCAAGTACAAATTTACAGTAGAAAAGTAGGGGATGGGTCTTCTAGACCCAAGCTTATGCCTTGAGGGTAAAAACCTTTCACTTAGACTCTCCCAGGGAGGGCCTAACAGTATGATTCACCTACTGCCAGAGGAAAATGTCTGGGCACCTAAATTTTCTCAAATAATTAACACAATACTACTTCTTATTGCTCCTCTTTTCCCTCTTTATCCATGGAAGATAGTTTTTAAAGTTTGCCATATATTTTTCAATTTACTGAATAGAAAACAGATCCAATGGTTACTCCCCCAACACAAGAAGAATGAGCTGGGGTAACTCATGTGACAGCACAGGTAAGTCACAAATGCATGACGCTACACATGATTCCATCTCGGGGACATTCTGGGAAAGGCAAAACTATAGGGAGAGAAAGTGATCAGTGGTGGCCAAGGACTGGTGGGTAGGGGGTGGGAAGGGCTAACTATAAAGGCACACAAGAGAATTTGGGGGTGACAGAACTATTCAATGCTTTGATCTGTTATAACTGACAAAATTGAATTTAAAAGACTGAACTACAATGTTTATGAATTATGCCTTAATAAACTTGATTTCTAAAGAAACTCAGATTTTGTCCCTCAGCTACATTCTCCAGGAAGGTGAGTGTGTGTGGTCACAGGTGAGCAGCCACCTGGGATGAAAGTCGTGTCACACTGTGCTCTCTCTCACCAACAGCCCAGCCAAAAACAGAAACCACTCCAGGGATTTCAGTCAGAAAGGAATTTGATGGAGGAATCCAGGGCTTATAGAATTGCTGAAAGGGCTAGAGAAGTCAGGGGTCCTTTAGGCTTTTAACTCTGAGGACAAACCACTGTACACAGCCATGACCCAAAGCTCAGGAAGCCACCACTGCCAACACAACAGCTTCTCATGCCCAGGCAGATGGGATGAAGACCACAGAGCAGGGAACGAGGCCACCGCCACTGCCACTGAACACTCAGGGCTCCTTGACCCCGTCTGCCAGCAGCAGCAGTAGGAACTCGGTCTAAACCACACACATGCTCATTGCTATGCAGTTAGGAACCTAGTACAAGAAAGTTGGGGACGTGGAGATGTTGGGTTCTAGTCTCTCCAATAGAGAGGGTGGAGTGAGGCTGGGCATGCACACTCGGGAGTACAGCTTATGCTTAACACGTACACATGCTGGGTTCAGTCCCAGGGACCCAAGGGGAGGAACCCAGAAGATGGAAGGTACAGAGAGCCAGTCCACAGTATTTACCCCAACTGTCATCCTTCTTGTCCTAAAACAAGGTGTTGTTCAATAAAGAAAGTGCAACAAAATCCTTTATCTAAACTTAAATTTCAAAGGCTGTTACAGAGATGAAAAACTGTTCCATTAATGGATGAAACCAAGATCTTAACTCATTTCATTATAGAAGAATATTTCATTTTCACATTTAGTTAGTCCTAGCCCCAATAAAATAAAAACTAAGATCACTGCATTTGATAACAGCAACTACAGTTCCCTTACAACTCGTGTATCTCACACCATTCTTCAGGCTCTTGTTCTGCTGAGAATTAAGCAGACTAAGTTGAAAACACATTTGTTTCTTAGATGTGGGTTATCTTATGGTAATCCCAAACCAGCAGTGGGAAAAGACAGTTTGAATCCTAATTGTTACTCCCAAAGACCTAAAACATAATCAAACAACAAACCAGGAGAAAACAGTGGTGCATTTAGCTAATGCACCACAATAACCATAGTTTTTACAGTTAGTTCCCCAACAACTGCTCATATAACTATATCCTGTATATCAAGAGGATTAAGGAAACTTCTCCTGAGGAATTTTTAGCCTGCAAGAATTCTGCTTCATTCCTTCTGGAATTATTTCTCTATATTGTACAGAAGGGAGGCAATGGAAACATTTTCCTTTTTCTGACAATAAAACTATTGGGTGGATTTTGCTAGTTTCTTCAACTATTAGGACAAAGAAAAAAAAAGTGACAAAGTACAATGGCCTAAAAAGAAAAACAGTGCCCAACCAACACTAGCTGCTTGGGTTTTGAGAATCATATATAAGCACTGTCAACTGGAAAAAATGAGGGGAGTCTTTGCCAAAAAACTCTAATTCTCCCTGTCTAGAAAACCATCAAAACACCATCCCACTCATAAGTCTCTCACTGCTAGAGGAAATCACTGAGCAATACTTTATATTGCTCTGACACAAGGAATAATGGTAGAAATGACAGCCAGAAGTTAAGAACTGTTTCAGCTTAATAGCAAAAGCTCTTCTCCTTCAAGGTATCTTTAAAAAAAGTTGAACTTAGAAGCTACTTATTTCTTATGGCCAGTTATATGCTACTTCTGCCAATGTTACTGTGACTGGTACGGAAAATGGTGACAATTTCATTATAAACAACAGACTCGGCCTCTCAAGCTGCAGGTGTCAGAGGAAGCACCTACTTGAGAAAAGCAGCAGAAACACTAAAGGATTCACAGAGTAAGGAACATCACCTGCCCCAAATAGGTGGATTAGGTGATGGCCCCTGTTAAGCTTTGCTTGAGAATGTACAGGAAATGAGGATCTAAATCATGATTACTACAGATCTAGCAACTCCCTTCTCTACTCTTAGTTTCCCAGGAGAATAAGACTTTAAATATGTTTATTGTGGCATGACACCCCCACACAGAGCCAGGTTGCTTTATGGGAGAATAAAGGATGCTGCATAATATTTCTTTCAACTCTTTAACAGCCAAGCACCCCATCCTCTAAAGCCAACCCACCCAGTTCCCCCCAAAGGAGAGAGCAGGGCTCCTACCATGGACACAGTTGGCAACTTACCTGCAATTCACTTACACAGCAGCTACCTGGGTATAGGCCAAACACCTCTCAAAACTCCACGTTCCCTATTTGCTCCATACTGTGCTCAGGCCCCTTAAAGAAGCTAATGAAATACTTGTAGGCATCTGATAGCACCTTTGTAAGAGCTGCGCTGCTAAGTCACTGTTACAGGACATAATCATAGGAAGCTCGGGGAAAAATTTCAATTCATACTCGTGACCACCTCACGGAAGAGGTGGCCTTAGGGCTTTCAGCCTTACAAAATAGCTATTGTAAGTGGTCCACAATTTTCAGACAATAGTGATTTCAACTGAAATTAAGAATAACTTCTACAAGATGGTTTAAGTCGGTCTCAGCCTGGTTCAAGAGACCATCTCCAGAGGACAGGAACATCAAAGGAAAGAGAAATACAAAAATCCACTCCTGACACAAAGTAGAACTGGCAAAAATAATCCCTACATTTGGCGCCCTTCCAGCTGCCACTGAAGAGGCAGAGCTGTGACAGCAGGTGGCAGATTCCATGGGGCCTGCTGGGACCTAGCTGGTCGTCAAGATCTGCAGGGGCCACTCCTCCGCGACAAGGCGGGACAGTTATCCTCTGCAGCCTGAACCGAGCTGCAGCGCAGTTCCTACGCAGTCTTGGCCACCACCCCATGGACTCTGGTTGATTCCATAGCATGCAGGAGTCGAGCGTGTGAGGCAGGAGCTTTTATTATCACAAACCACACAAAGAAGCCATTGTTCAGGGGAGCGACATAATATATTGTAACTGCTCCCGTCGTGTCAACAGGCGTCATTTTAATGGGCCGGTTAGAATCTCTCCCACTTGAAGTTAAAATGGTCTCCATTTCAATGAAAACAGGAGATCCCTCATTTGGAAGATTGCAATTCACCCCGGGCAGCTGCCAGGCATAAGGAAAAGAGAAATGGCAGGCATGCGCTGAGTTGGCCTCTCCAGGCAACATTTCCATTTGATAATTTGTCTCCTCTTAAAACAAAGAGATGAGCAAGTTACAAATATAATTACTACATTTCCGAACAAGCAATAACACAAGCCACGAACGCACTAGCAGAGGATGGCTAGCTTACCTCTGGCTCCGGCTGTCGGGGCTGTTCATCCTCGGTGGAGTTTGGTAAAATTGCCCAGGTTATGTTGGCACTGGCTGATGGCAAAGAGCCGAGTGTCCCATTTTTCAGCTGCTCTGTGGAATGTGACTTGGACCCATGCCATCCCAGGATGTTTTCTGAAATAAAGACCTAGAATGATGCCAAGTATTTTCCAAATTAAACATTCATAGCTCATGAAATATGTGTACCTCACTGTGAGAGGAGACCTACTTCACATGGGGCCAGGGTAATACACGGTGGGGTCTGTTTCAAAGAATGTACCAAGGGAGGACTCTGATCACACACTTACGAGCTTTGTGTCTGTGTAATGTCAGATCAGACATCACAGATTTTTTTCTATCCCCCACTCTGGACAGAAACAATTCCCAACACTACCAGTGTCAGATAAAGGTATTTTTCTTTAACCTTTCAAATATATTTTCAAATATTTATGATAAAAACCAAAAGTCAGGTTTTATCAAAAAATAGGCTGCCCGAAATATGGCTCACACAGAACTTGCATGACAGCCTTGGCGCAGAGGAGATGCCTACGGTGCGGTCACACAACAACACCCCTGTTGTCAGATGTGGCCAGTGTGACAGATATCAGGAACCTCACACTGAGGGACAACACGTTCAGCCATTAAACAAGAAATGTTTAATAAACACCAGTCTGGTAAACCAGAAGCATTTTTCTAATTCTCCCTCAAGCCCTGCGGGGAGGGAGAGTTTCGCTTTTAATACTACTTTTTAAAGAGTCATGTTTTGTTATGGCTCATGTTCTTACGCTTACTAATGAGGGCAGGAGTGGCCAGATGAGAATTTCTTTACCCCACAGCAACTCCACCATGAGAATTCAGGCTCACCCTCTGCTGATGTCCACTCCAGAGAGTCTGTTCCCATTCAAGCGCAAGAACAAATGACAGAGAAAAGACAGGCTAAAGTAGAAACGCACGTATGTGACTCAGAACTCAGCCTTTCAGTGTCTCAGGTGTTCCGTCCCTAAAGCAATCCACCAAGCATCTCACGGAGTTACAAAAAAGTCTACAAGCATCCCAAACTTTGAACACCCCAAGGAAATCTGGTTAACCAGAGCAAAATGACCAGAGCAGAGTGAGGAGCTCTTCCTGTGTGTGTGTGTGTGTGTGTGTGTGTGTGTGTGTGTACGTAGTTTCTGTGTGTGGTGTATTCAACCCAAGGACATTTTTATGACAAAATATCTTTTAATGCCAAGTGTTAGATCACATAACTCTGCTGCTGAAGTCTTAAGAAGCTTCTTTTTGCAACTGAAATAAAATCTAAACTGCCTGGCTTTCCCTACCCGTGCCAGCCTCAGCTAATTCTCCTCCCCCTGTGGTCATCAGGATCGAGAAATGCTGGTATTTTTTTCCACTCCTCAAATAAGCCAAGTGTATTACAGTCTAGAGCCTTTGTGCCTACTTCCCTCTCCTGAGTCCTGTTCCCCAGGCCTCCAGTGGAGGAAGAGGAATCCTGAGTAAGTCCGAGGGTCAGCTACGTGTCTCCTGAACAGAAGTCTCTGGCACACCCTGGGACCATGACACCCATGGCCCCTCTGTCACTTCGCTTCTTACTGCCTTCAAAGGATCTGGCACGGCCTGTACTTGGCCAGTTCAGTCGTTTGCTTCTTGATGGTTTATCCCTCTTTCTGGACTGCCAGGTCCTGAGGGCCTGGACAAGAATGCCCTGGCTCACAGCTGTGTCTCCAGAACCTAGAACATGACCTGGCAGAGCGTGTGCTGACCACATACGTATGATGGGTAGATGACTACTAAGAGATTCAGGCACAGCCTATTTCACCAAGAGTGAGTTTTGTGGACTCATTTTTTAAAATGTCAAACAGAAAGGCAGGAAGTAGAATGGTGGTGGCCAGAGGCTGAGAAGTAGAGGAGAGGATTGCTGTTTACTGGGTAAAGCCTCAGGTGGTTCTGTGTGTATATGTGTGTGCTTTGTTTTGAGACAGGATCTTACTATGTAGTTCAGGCTGATGTTGAACTCACTATGTGGCCCAGGTTGAACTCAAACTCACAGCAATCCTCCTGCCTCGGCCTCTTGAATGCTGGGCCTCAGGTGTGTGTCATCATGTCCAGCTTAGAGCCTCAGTTTTACAAGATGAAGGAGTGTTGGAGATTCATCAAACAACAATGTAAATGTACCAACAATACTGATATACACACATAGAAAAAATGGAAAACTGGGTACAGTAGCCTGTAATGCCAACTACTCAGGAGGCTGAGACAAAAGAATCACAAATTTAAGTATAGCCTGGGCAATTTAGAAAAACCCTATTTCAAAAAAGAAAAAAGTAGAGGTAGGGAGTGGGAGACCTGTGGTTCAGTGGTAAAGTGCTTACCTAGCATGCACAAGGCCCTAGATTAACACCCAGCACTGTGTTTTAAAAAAAAAAAGGTTAAGATGGAAAATTTTACATTATGTATATTTTTCTATGTGGTAAAACATCATCCCTATAGCAGCCATTGGTGTGATTTTTAAAAAAAAAAACTCTAAAACACGGAGGCAAGGGAGAAAGAGATAGACAGACAGAGATAAAAGGTCAAAGCCAAAACCCACAAGAATTTGATAGGAATCTTCACAAATAATAAAGCAGATCAAGCTGGACTAAGAAAAACATGTCAGGATTTGAGACACTAGAATTTGACATAAGAGAGAGGCAGATACTTCTTACCTATCATGCCAGCTGACTCTTGCCTCAGAGATCTGGATTTGGACCTTAAATATCAGACAACTGTCCCATAAAAACAAGCATACTACTTTAAATTTTTTACTTTATTAAACAAGTAGGAAATGTCTTTTTGAGCAGTGAGGACATCTTAAAAAGTACTAAGGGAAATAAGACCTACTTGCCTAGGTCATCAGGACAACGTTTCCTCCATCATCCCCACACCCCAAAGCTGCCCTTCCTCTTCCCGTAACACCATCCAGAGATGGCAACCAAGCATACCAGGGCAGCGGTGCCCTGTGTCCCGGGACACAGACCAGGACTGGATGAGAAAAGGCGGCAGTGCGCGCTGGGTTACGTGTGCACTCCGCGGACTCAGAGTACCTAGCAACCGGTCAGTGAGGACAGGACAGAAGCCTGTCTCCCAACAGCCTACTTGCTGGAAGAACCATCATGAGTTTGGGAGTCTGGACGGACCAATCTTGTTTGCGGGTGAAGAAGAAAAAGTCTAATCTAGAGCGAATGAAAAGGATCGTACAAAGCCTGGAGAGAGAAAGATTATCCTTGGGAAAGAATACACCCCTGAAATTTCCAAAGTAAAGTAACAGGAAACAGGAAAAGTGTATCCTCAGCACAAGACACAGTGAGGCAGCCTCTGTGAAACAGGAACGAGAATCAGAAGCAGACAGGCTAAGGTGGGGAGGGAGATGGACACACCAGGGAATGATCAGGAGGAAGTGAAATCACTTGTAAAAAAGATAAAAGATAAGAGGAAATAAAGTGATAGATCTTTTGCAAAAAGGAAGGGAAAGGGAGGTAAAAAGAATTAAGGTGTGTTATGTATGGGTCATGTTCCCCATGAGGAACACAATCATGTACTGCAAACGTGTACTAGTAAAAAAGTAAAAATAAAAAAAAAATCAAAATAAACATTCTGGAAAGCAGAGATAAACTCTACCAGTGTCCAGATGCAGAGGACATAGATGACACAGAAGACACTGAACAGATCTAAGAGGCAGAGGATCACTGTTCCAAGGGAGGAAGAGCAGATCAGTGGGACACAAACAACAAACCCCACGGCAGACAAACATGTTCTGAGCTGAACAGAAAGCTGTGAAGGCTGCGGAGAGGACCCACCACGTTCCAGCAAAGCCACCAGGCAGAAGCTCACCCCAACACATGGTCTGCTAATTTCTTAGGATTTTGATTACTGAAATTCAAAAGAAAAAGAAAAGCAAAATGAAGACATCAAGAACAGAGAGTTAGGTACAAAAGTACTGCTGGTGAGCAAAGACCTGGGAAAAGCAGTGCTGGGCAGGCCAGGACCAGGGCCTGGCAAGCAGACACTCGCCTCAGCACAGAATCAGGTGTGAGCTGGCAAAGATAGCACCCACGCAAACTGCGGGAAGCAGCGTGACTTCTAAACCGAAAAGGGTTGGGAGACAGCTCAGTTGTCTGGGACTCAGCCTCACTTACCTCAGCCCGACCCCTGCCCTGTTCGATCCTTTCCACTATGAACTCAATGTTCCTTGTATCCTGTCTCCCCGCCCACTCCAAATGTGTATGTTTTGGCTCTAACCTCCAGTGTGACTGAATTTGGAGACAGGCCTTTAGAGGAAGGGCCCTGATCCATAAAATCAGTGCCCCTCCACCCACGCACTGCCTGCACTGGGTCTGAGCTTGCAATCCTCTTTCCTCAGGCTCCCAGGTGCTGGGATTCTAGGCACGTGCCACCACGCCCAGCTTAAAAAACACGTGGAAACCAGAGCTCCTCCACACAAGCACACGGCATCCAAAGGCCGTGTGAAGACACCAGAAGGTAGCACCACCACACCCAAGGCAGCTCCTTCACCAGAACCCACCCCAGCTGGAGCCTGCAGGACCTTACACCTGCAATCTGCAGAACTGTGAGAGAGAAAGTTTTGCTAAGCCACCCAGAAGCCTTAGCTAAGACATTGTCTTTATGTAAAACTTTGCTATTTTGTTTGTCATGGATTCTTTTTCCCATTAATTTGTGCTTAAAAACACACTACATTAAAGTAACATTTTTTAAAGCACTGCGGTTTTCTGTACCCCTTGAATTCTGCACTCAAGGCTAGTGCCTCACTCATCTCATCCTGGTCTCAGCCTGGAGGACTATGAATAATTTCTCTAAATATGATTATATAATTCAATACCAAAGTCATTTTGCTTTGGTTTTAAAGTAGTACTAGAGATTGAATCTAGAACCTCTACCCTGAGCTATGTTCCTGGTCCTTTCTTATTGTCCATTTTGAGTCAGGATCTTGCTAAATTGCTAAATTGCCCAGCATGGGATTAAATTTGGCATTCTCCTGCCTCAGCTTCTCAGAGCACAGGGATTACAATAGGTGTGTGCACACCTAGCTCGAAGTGATTTTAAGAGAAATTAGTCATTATGAAACATTACATAAGTATTAT